GCATTTCGAGGAGCAGGGTGGACTCTCTCCACTCTCGGCCGTACCAGGGCATTTGGGGGCAATAATGCTTTTCAAAAGAACAATGGAAGCTTCACAGTTAAACTTTCCAGCTTGAAGAGGATAACACTTCCAAATGAGTTGTAAATCATGATTATTTAGAAGAGTTGTATTTTTGAACACTATCATGAAAAATAAAACACCTTTTTCCAAGTTTAACCTTACTTTGGTGATTGTTTTCTTTCTTTTTTTTAATATTTTTTACGACAAATGACGATAGATACATCTACTTTATCGTTGTATTTTTATTTAACCAACATCATAAATAAATTAACCATCTGTCATATAAAAGAAAAGAAAATCAGTAATAACTAGACAAAACTAAAACTCTCTTCTCATTATCGTAAACAAATTAAGTATGCAAAATGAAAAAAAAGAGAAAAATAATTTTGACTGATTAACAAGCAGACATGTTCATCAATTAATGAAAAATAAAACTGTTGTATAAGTCATCATCACATGTAAAAATGTTTCAGTTTTTCTTTTCTCTCTCTTTGATAACTGATCTGTTTATTACTACTACTACTACTACTTTTTCCCCCTTCCTCCCTCCCTCCCTCCCTTCTCTCTCGTTTACCCTTCCTTTTTGTATATGAATCTTTATCCTATTATTAGTCAATTTAAAGTTAATATTTTGTTGTATTATGATCCAATGTATAGACTGTATTACTTAATTGATGAAAACGTCAAAAGTACCTTTATGATAGTGTGTCATAATTTTTCAAAACAAAGTTGAAATTGGTAAAAAAAAAAAGGTCTATAATAATACTGATAGAATCATCAAGTTCAGACTAGTAATGTTTCTAACAAATTATCACGTCAATAAACAATATAGTTAAAATGTTACATACCTTGAAATTAATGATTATAAACTTTTTACATATTAATAAGCAACTATTCGAAATAACATTATCTCAGTGTAAAACACATAAATCTTTTGTTTACAAACTCTTTAAATGTTAACTAATCTAATATTATTGGTATATTTTTATGAGTTACACTTTGATTTTTAGCGTCCACTATTTCTGAGAAGTCGCTATTATTATTATTATTATTATTATCATTATTATTATTATTATTAGTAGTAGTAGTAGTAGTAGTGCGTGTGCTACTTATATCGACACAACTAGTATATGACGTTAGTCAGGAACAGAATATCTGGAAGAAGATAGACAAGAGAATCGAACAGTGAAGAAAAGAAACAGAATGCAATTTGTATGAAAATTTCAAGAACAATAAAGTCTAAGTCATTTTGAGACAATTGGTCATTTTGCAAATTGAGCATTTACTATAGGATTGTTAGATTTTATTAACAAGCTCTGTAATTTTGTGTCAAATACATTCGGTTGTCCCTACTCGTATTCTTGTCCACAACAGTAGTAGTAAATCAAAAATATTTGTTTTACTTCCTTTTGGTTTCATGAAGCTAATTATAATTCATTAGTTTCACAGTTATGTCTATTTTTTGAATAAATATACCTGGGTTAATGGCTCATATAGTTAGTTCTTTTTCAAAGAGAGAGTTCGATTTTAATTATTCTCTTTAATATTAAACGATTTTAACTATATTCTGAAATTGATTAGCTAAAATAATTTTCAATAGTTGAAATTATGAGTCAATTGAAGCTAGACCACAATCGAAAACCTAGAAGCACTGGATGCCTGTTTCGTCCTAGTGTGGGACTTCTCAGCAATGCGCATCCATAATCTCGCCCCCACGAAATTCGAACCCAGGACTAGTGGAGTTAGACCAGGTCTTTTGTAAGATGCCAGCTCACTGGAGACAATGGTGACGGTCCTGGGTTCGAATCTCGTGGGGGCGGGATCGTGAGTGCACACTGCTGAGGAGTCCCACACTAGGACGAAACGGGCATCCAGTGCGGTCCAGTGCTTCCAGGCTTTCCATGGTGGTATAGCCTCAATTGACTCATGATTTCAGCTATTAAAATTACTCAAATCTCTACAAAGCCCCTTCTGATAAAATAATTTTATCAAATGAAAATACTATTTATTCAGCTATTCGATTATAAACAGAAAATCTTAATGAAAGATAATCTACATTGTTAGATGTAATTAACTAGAGAATTGTCTAAAATTGGAAAGCACTTAAGAATTGTCTAATTATCAGTTAATAATCCTTCAATAATAGCAATCCCATGTGTTAATAAGTATAAATTTCTCTGGTAGAATAGTTATTGCAACTCCCACTATGTGGGATGATCCAGTGCTTTACATTTTCAACTTGAATGAATTGTCAGAAATAGCGCAAGTGTTACCTAATATCATTTGGTAGGTGAATAAAGTACTCTTTACATGTAGATTCATGAATAACTCTTGTATACGTATATATCGGCATTTTTGAATACAAAGAGACAGTAAATCTAAAAAGAAAGTACACATACGTTTGTATCAATTTAAAATGTTCAACCATATAATTCAAAGAGCATAAAAGGCTGGACTAGCATTTTCCGAAACAATATATTACATAAGTTTAAGTTCTTTTGCAGAACCTAACTACATAAATAGCAAATAGATTTATAAAGTTAATTTTGGAGTGATAGTAAATTGAACGTTGAAAATACGGAATTACTTCCTTATGCCTGTTAACCCACATGGAGGAGCATAGGCTGCTCACCAACATTCGTCATGACAATCCTTCCCAGTTCTTTCCAGTTGCTATTCATTCTTTTCATGTCTGTTTTCGAATTTCGACGAAGTGTATTCTTTGGCCTTCCACTTTTTCGTTTCCCTTCAAGATACCCGGTAAGAGCTTGCCTCGTGATGCAGTTTGATTATTTCACCAACGTATGTCCTATACAATTCCAACGTCGTTTCCCAATTTCCTCTTCAGATAAAAGCTGATTTGTTCTCTCTCATAGTAGGCTGTTGCTGATGATATCAGACCGATGGACGTTGAGTATCTTGTGTAGATAACTGTTCATAAATACTTGTACTTTCTCGATTATAGATGTGGTAGTTCACCAAGTTGCAGCTCTGTACAGTAGAACTGCCTTGACGTTCGTATTGAAGATTCTAACTTTGATACTGGTTGACAATTGTTTTGAGTTCCATATGTTCTTCAATTGTTGGAATAGGAAACTTATGACTATAAGAAAATACTTACAAACTAATGAATTATATTCTTCCCCGGTTGCCACGTAACCAATTCATTCATTCTTGTATCAAGTAATTATAACTGATACAATAATCACTGAGGTATGATAAAAAATAGCCCAACATGAATAGTTTGTTAGGAACATGTATAAATAATGATAAATATTTTATCAGAGCCATAATTAATTGAAATCATAAATAAATAACTTTAAAGCTACTAATAAACACCTGATAATTTATGTAGTCAAATAGTTGATCATTTTGAATGGTGTGTGCTACCAATGTCGACCGATATAAGTAATATGTATCATTAATCGAAAACGAAATATCTGACGGCAGAAGGTTAAGGAAATCAGAGAAAAGAGAATGATTGATGTGGGAATGAAGAAACAATGAAATATGAGACGATTAATTGACATTTAACAAATCAGGTATTTAATGTATGGTTCTCAGATTTTACTAAGACGTTCTTTAATTTTTTTTATTCAAATACATTCAGTTGTTCCCACTGGTGTTCTCGTTCACCACAGTATAATCATTTGTTTTTTTCAACAGGATCGATATTATTCAAATGATAATCGATAAGAGTTTAAGTGGAAAAAGTAAAAAAATAGAAATATGTTATGTAATAAAATTTTGTTAGTTCACATTATAATAAAACGTTTCTAAAGTCTTTCAAATTTGGGCGGAAACCTGGAGAACTACGAAAGCTATCATCCAGAAGATACAGGTGTTTATTAACAGTTGTCTACGCAAAATACTTCGGATCCGTTGGCCGGACAATATAAGCAACAACCTACTGTAGGAGAGAACAAACCTGATCCCAACGGAGGAGGAAATCAGGAAGAAGCGCTGGGAGTGGATAGGACACACATTGAGGAAAGCACCGAACTGCGTCACGAGACAAGCCCTCACATGGAATCGTCAAGGTCAAAGGAAAAGAGGAAGACCAAAGAACATATTATGCCGGGAAATAGAGATGGACATGAGAAAAATAAACAAGAATTGAATGGAAGTAGAAAAGAAGGCCCAGGGCACAGTGAGTTGGAGAATGCTGGTTGGCGATCTATGCTTCATTAGGAGTAACAGGCGTAAGTAAAAGTAATCAATCTGTCTTCTAATAAAAGTATCTAGGTAGCTTAGTTATATTGCGATTATTCTTGTCTGATAGAAGTAATGAGATTATTATGTGAAAAACCTTCACAATTTATAAATTTATAAAAACTCGAATGAATGAAATATCAAGAAGGTAAACTAAAAATTGAGTTACTAGAGTACTCCATTAGGAGTAACAGGCGTAAGTAAGTAAGTAAGTAAGTAAAGTCTTTCAAATAAATGTCAGCTGAAAAAAAATCAATATTAACATTACCATATTTAATTTATTGTTATTCTATTTCCTTTCTTATTAACCAGTATTGATAAGAACTTCACTAGTAAAGTATCGTTACTTGTTATTTGAAGCAGCTGATAATGAAATTTTATTCTTTTATTAAAAATTCATAGTATTTTAATGAATAACATTTAGTATCAGAAGGAGTTTTTTTAGTATTAGAGTAATTTTAATAGTTGAGATCATGAGTTAATTGAAGCTAGACCACCATGGAAAACCTAGAAGCACTGGACAACCGTTTTGTCCTGTTGTAGGACTGCTCAGAAGTATGCATCCTTGATGATGAATGTTTCCGTTCAATTTCGTGGATTGGTTGAAGTTAGACATTAACACCATTGGATGCCGGCTCGATGGTCTAGTGGTCCAGCGTTCGCACGAGGGACCAATAGGTCCTGGGTTCGAATCTCACGAGTCGGGATCGTGAATGAGCACTGCCGAAGAGTCCCACAGTAGAACGAAACGGCCGTCCAGGGCTTCTAGATTTTCCATGGTGGTTTAGATTCAATTGACTCATGATCTCAACTATTAGAATAACATTTACTTGATTTCAATATAAAGCAAATATGAACCGACAACAATCAATCATGATCATTTTTTCTAATGTTAAATCATTAAAAATTGTGACTTATGAAATTTTAATTGAATGATAATAGTATATGCTCTTTCCTTGAATGGAAAGTTTCAAAATCTTTTGTTGTAGAAAAATTCTGATGATACATTATTAAAAAAACAACTATTTTATTCATTTCAAACGTTTAATTGTGCTACAAATTAGTACTAACGTACTGTGGAAATTGATACTCATCATCCATTGGCCTAATACCATCAGCAACAGCTTTCTGTGTGAGAGAGAAATCAGCTTCCAGTTGAAAAGGAAATTAGGAAAACACAATTGAAATGGATAGGATATACATCACGCAAATTATCAAACAACATCACGAGGTAAACTCTAACTTGAACTCCTGAAAGAAAGATGAAAAGAGGAAGGCTAAAAAACACATAACAACTGGAAAGAGCTGGAATGGATTGCCCAAGATAGAGTTGGATGAAGAGTGTTGGTAGGTGAACTATGCTCCTTCACGAATAGTAACAGGAGTAAGTAAGTAAGTACTATGGAAATTAAATTTTCGCAAAAATAAACTAAATATCTGTGAACAATTTTATTTCAGTATATTATATTTATATGTCGAAATTCAAGAACATAACATCCATATACTTCAGTACTTTCAATAACTTGTAATTATAATATACTACTTTGAAAATTTTAACAACTATACGCATTATGATCACCATTTTTAAAGAAAAAAAAAACAAACAATATAAGGAACAATTGTATACTTACATTATTATAAAAAAATAATCAATAAATTAATCTATATTTAAATGTTTAGATGAAAAAACAAAACAACATGATAATTAGAGAAAACAAAAGAAAAAAAGTAATTTTCATAAAGATGGTAAATCTTTAAAACAGTAAGAATAGTTCATCATATTGTTAAATATTAAAATATTAAAATTAAAAAAAAAAGTGAAAAGTAAGAACAAATCGATTCTCATATGGGTTGTGTTTTAGTTTTGAATATTATAACTTCAACTGACTTATGATCTTAATTATTGAAATAGATTCTTTTCAAATCAACAAAAAAAAACATAAACTGTAATCAAACATTGAACATTCTGATATTTATGAATAATAATTTGAGAAAATTAAATTGATCTTAACTGAAAAGATAATTACATCACAGGTAAGTAAGAAATAAATAAAGATAACATTGAAACCTAATTTAAATATGGGTGATTTTTTTTTTAATTTGAATAAATGGATAAGGACATAAAATATATGAGTACTGATTAGTCTTATAATCCATGATAGAATATACAGTGAAGTAATCACAGTTGTTATATAATGTATGATAGAATTTGAAATCAATTCATTATACTATGTATAGGCAATATAGAGTTAATTGCTACGAACTATAGTCACAATGAGGAAAACAATCTGTGTAATAGTAAATAAAAATGAAGGATGTATGTGTATATCTGTATTTATATTTGTTAATTAACACCAGAAAAATAAAAAGATTATCTAGAAATTGTTGTCTGATATTGTTGTTTATTTTGAAAATGTTTATCATGAATTTCTTCCATACAGTGAAAACTTAATTGTTTGCTATATTCTAATTGATTAGATTTTTGTTGACATTTCTGATAATATTGATGGTGAGATTGATGATACTGGTAATGATGATGATGATGATGATGATAATGACGACGACAATGACGGTGAGTACGATAATGTTGATAATAGTAAAGATTATGAGGAGAGCAACGACCTCTACTATGAGAAAAATCGAAATATCCTAGAGGAAAGTTCAAGTATGAGTAATAAGGTAAGTCAGATAAATCAAAGTTATAATGATTATTATTATTATCATTATTATTATTATTATTAGTAGTAGTAGTATTAGTAATATTGTTATTCTGATTATCGATGAGTCTATGATTACCATTATTATTTAGTATAATATTATTATTATTATTATTATTGTTTGTACGAATATTCATACGATTGATATTATGATGTTGATGATGATAATGATTATGATGAATTATTTTATTTTTATTACAATTACATAATAATTTTGTATATATATTTGTAATTATTTTATATAATGTTTGTCTAAATATTGGTAAAAATGCCCAATATAAAAAAAAATCAAATGTATGATTAAATGAATCAATAGAACTAAATAATTTTGATAATTGTATAATTTTATATGCATAAATTGGATAAATTAATTCATAATTATTAAAATGTACTTTTTGTCTTAATATCATTATTGTAACTAATGGAATTGATAAACATGTAAACATAATACTTATAGCTAAATGTGTTATTACTTTATTTAATTCACTATAAGATTGTTTATCATAATAACCATTTAATTTTGAATGTTTTATTGTAGATTTTAATTTATATGATATTAAAATATTCATAATAAAAATAAATATAGCCGGTAATATAGTAACACCAATAATATATAAATATAATACATATTTTACACCATTTGCTATTGGATCAATATATTGACAATTTGATTTTTCATTGGAATCATCTTTTAAATCAGCATAAATTAAATGTGGTATATTTAATAAAAAACAAATAATATAAATTATAAATATAGATAATTTAGCTATACGTAATTGTAATAATTGTTCAATTTGTTTAGTATAATATATTGAATATACACGATCTATACTAAATAACATAAGTATAAATGCAGCAATTAATGCAGAGACATCAGATAAATATGTTAATAATTTACATGTAATTGATGAATATGAATCAACTTGATACCATATATAACAATTAGTTGCCCATTTTAAACCACGTCCTAAAAAATCATCAATAAATGTATTCACAATTAATTGTATTAAATGTGCTAATGCCATCCATATTGCATATAAATTAAAACGACATGTTTGTTGTTTTTCTAATATATTAAATATAATAATAATAAATATATTTGCTGGTATACCAATTAATGCAAGTAATGGTGATATATAAGCACGAAAATTATATACCATTATTTCTTCATTTGTTAATGATTTTAAACAATTTGATAGATAATTATTATTATCATTATTATTATTGGATGATTTCATTATAATTAAATAATAAAAATTTAATTAAAAATATTAAATTAATAATTATGTAATAATAAAATAACAAATTTCAATGATCAACATGACTTTATGATATGGACATAATGAATTAATATAGAGAAATTTTATATATTTATATATAATGAATTTCATTTATGTATTTTTTTAATTGGTTAGAAAAATAAAAAGATTAGAATTGTGATTGGTGAATTTTAGTAGTTAAGAGAAATACTATTATTATTATTATTATTATTTATATAATAAATATAAACCAAGTATGTTTTTATAAAGAAAATATTATTGTAGATTTGAATTTTTAATAAATAAACTAAAAAAAATTAATCTTTTTATTATAATTATAAATTGAATAATGATTATAAGTAGAAAAAAAATGCATAGTGACTGGCAGTTAGTCAGTCAGTCAGCTACAACGTAGAACCAGGCATATATAAATATATATATATATATATATATACATCGGTCCAAGTTGCCATGCCTTATTAGCACAACAAGATGAATACCGGATTCATAGAAGTGGTTAATTCAATGGTGGTAATATATAAACACAAAGATTGTATATTAGATAGTACAGGAAAAAAGAATTAGTTCGTACAAAGAAAGATATGAAGCGATTTTAATATCTTAGTTTAAAGAAAGATAGAGAGTGTATACACCTACACCATTGTGATCGATTCTGAGCCATGTCACCAAGAGTCTCCAATCATTGGTAACGATAGTCACGTGGACCCCAAACCAAGTAGTCTGTATCTACCAACATGGCTCAGGCCAGAAGTTAGTAACTTCAAGCACTGATGCCACATTTTGGTTTGGCCGCCCTTAAATTTCTTCCAATTATCCCCAACACTAGTCAGCATTGCGCGTCGTGGTAATCAGTGTTCAGGCATACTTACGTACGTACAATTTCCTCATCTAAATTTCCAGGAGTTGAACTTCTACCGGGAGATCCACTTGTTGACTTAGAATATGCCGATGACATAGTTCTATTTAGTGAAGACGCTGACAAAATGCAGAGTTTGCTGACCACTCTAAGCAACAATGCAAGCATGTTCGGCATGCGATTTTCTCCCTCGAAATGCAAAATGTTGCTTCAGGATTGGGTTGCGTCGACACCCGAACTAGTGATAGGGAGTGAAGTAGTTGAGTGTGTCGACCACTTCACTTATCTTGGGAGTCTCACAACCCCTTGTGGTCTGGTGTGTGACGAAATCTCAGCACGGATACAGGAGGCTCGACTAGCTTTTGCCAACTTGCGTCATTTATGGCGTAGGCAAGATATCCGTCTATCAACCAAAGGACGTGTTTACTGCGCAGCAGTTCGTTCTGTCCTACTTCATGGAGGTGAAACATGGCCGGTAAGAGTAGAGGATATTCGTAGGCTACTAGTATTTGACCATAGGTGTCTTCGAAACATCGCTCGTATATCCTGGGACCACCGAGTAAGTAATGTAGTTGTTAGGATGGCAAATCAATTGATGAAGTAGTGAAACTTAATCAGTTGAGATGGCTGGGACATGTGTTGCGCATGCCCGACCACCGACTGCCCTGACGTGCGACGTTTTATGGTGTAGGAGTAGGTTGGAAGAAAGCTAGGGGCGGCCAGACCAAAACATGGCACAAATCCATGAAGTCACTGATAAGTGGACTGAGTCATCTTGGTAGATGTAGACTACTTGGTTGGGGACCGCGAGATGATAGCAACCGATGGATAGAGATGACATGGCTCAAAATCATTTGCGATGGCGCAGGTGCATCCACACTTTGTGTTCTCTCAAACTCTAATCTTCCGTATTCTTCATATCTTTTATTTTCTTTCCAAATATATTCCACTGGACTATACTCCTTAAATAACATCATCAAACCATAATGTTCCCTATCACTACTTATACTTTTAGTATCTATACCACTATGGGATTTGAATCGATAACTGAATCTCTGTGCTAATGTGGTATGGCAACTCGAACTGATGTACGTTTGTACAAAGTTCCACGTTGTTACCGACTGACTGACTGACGTACATACACTATCTGTTATCTTAACGCTTCTCGTTTTCACAACACATGTCTCTTACACACTTATGTAAATACCTACTTCAAACAGTGTTCAGGTTGATTGGATGTCTTATTCAATATACAGTGAACCAGAGAACCATGTACCTATTTATATTCGATAATTTTGTTATTTGACTGTATTTTCCTTGAAAAAGCTTGGACCAGATTGCCAGGAGAAACATTAGATTTACTGAAAATACATTCACCGAGATTTTACAAATACATTTTTCCTCTTTAATTAATCTTTTCATTATAATTATAAATTGAACAATGATTATAAGGAAAAATGGATAGTGACTGACAGTGGGATCCAGTTTGACGCGTGTTTCATCCTATTTGAAATGAACGGTACTGGGTTTGAATCTCAAAGTGAACATCAACTCTAAGATGCAGGCACATTCAACTGATGAGTCTCAAATAGGATGAAACGCACGTTAAACTGGATTTCACTGCTAGCCACCATTCATGTTTGCTTTTAATGCTTGTAACTTAAGGCAATATCGAGGTAATAAGCATAGTATGCATATATGCCAATAAGAGATTGATCAATTTCAGTTCTAAACATCAATGGGAAGATTCAAGTAAAACAATATCAAGTGAATTGAACAGTGATTATTTGGAAATGAAACCGAATATGTATGTATATATATAATATCAAAAGAAGTATTTATGGTTTCAAAGTTAATCTTCTTGATGACTAGTTGAATTTGTTTAATATATTAAAAACAATATGGTATGGTACGCTATAACTTAATGTTAAAATTACAGTTTTACACTAAGCTACAGATTTTTATTCATTATCTTTGAAAAGAATTAATGAAGATTTTTCTCTCTTTATGTGCTGTTTGCTTGAACTTTAATTAAATTCTGTCATTAAGTTGTTATGTGCTTGACTGAACGATTAAAATCATGATCTGAAGATGTACTTTGGGAAAATCTACATTTTTTAAACAGAGCATAAAAATAAATGCCATCTTAATTAGGCTAAGAAGTGTTTTATTCGTTTCCCAAACAGAGATGATAACGTATAAAATCTACAGATAAGTGTAATAATAAGTCACAAAATTTTTAAAACACTAAACGAAATAAATCGGCGGCCGGCTTGAATATCTGGGCTACCTGTTCCTCCCATCTAGATATTTCGTCAAGTTATCTGTTTTCTTGTTTGTTTTAACACACTATTATGTCTATTGAGCTCACAACCTATTCAGGCGCGTTTATGAAAAGTTTACAACCTTTCGCTGTACGGATTACAAAAAGGTACAACCAGCGGCATCATGGTGGCTTGCAATATGCATTGAAACGAATGAACATTATTCAGATGTCGATTATCGAACTCCTAACATCTAACTGGCCATCACTCAATATTTATCGTCAGGATCGACCAAGATATAAGAAAAGGAAACTTGTTGAAATACTTTATGCTGAGAATTCAATATTGTACCAAAAATATAATGTTGAATAAAGCTTATAATAATTTTAAAAAATAAAAATTATACGTGGAAATGCGTCTCAAATTGCCTCAAACATGATAAAGTAATAATGTAATTATAAAATAAAAATGAGACTTCTCATTAATAGTAAGCAATGGTTGATGGGATGAGAAAACCGATGGAAAAAATCTTAGTTTGTTAAAAAGAATGAGCCTGATAAGACTAGATAAAATATGCTCTTGTTAATTTCTTAAACCAAGCGAGTGAAACGGTTAGAGGAGTACTTAAAAAAACGTTAGGCCGGGTTTCAAATATATCCTAGTTACATACAACCTAGCCATCACCTTTTGAAAAGACTGCAAAAGCGTTGAACTGTACAGGATGACTACATTTTGATAGGTGGATGGATGCAAACGGCTGGAAATCTTGAACATAAGTTTCCTGTTGATTGGTATTCATCAAAAAAGGTGTACAATCAACCCTTATTACCAATATATGATCGTTCAATGTAAGCTTATACTCATTCTGTCACTCTCTTAGACTTCAGATTTTTAATCCAAATAACACTGTAATGACACTGAATTAAACGTCATGTTTATTTAGTGAAGGATGTCATCGTTAACGATAGTAAAAGTACGCTAAAATGGAGTTGAGTTTTCTTTAAACGGAATAACTTTAATAAATACCTCACATTATTAATAATAAAAGTCCTAACAGTTCAACATTTATTTTTTTGAAATCTTATCAACTTTTAATTGTGTATCATACTAGTAAATTTTTAATTTCATTAATTACACTTTCCGCCGCCCCCCCCCGGCTGATATATGGACTTTATTGATTTTCATCTAAATGACAATAAATGCAAAATAAATAATAACCAATGTTTCACTCATGTAATAATGACTAATTGGAATGAGAAAAATGTTTCTAAGACTAATTTATTACTGATTATTTTCAAAGTAGTATATTCAGTTGGCATTTGATGAGGTGATCAAACAAGTTTGATTTAATTGAAACATTGTAATCAAAGTGTAGAATACAAGATAAAACAAAATACTTGAAATTTATATGGAACAAAAAACTGGTTAAGTAGTAAAAGGCAGATAAATAAAGCTGAAAAAAAAACGTTTCAATAAGTTTTATGGAAGTATTCCTGAAGAAGTCCAGACAAGTTAACTGGACGAAACGTTGGAATTATTTACATTTCAATCAATGAGATTATTTCAAATATAATTTTCATATATAATATTCCTAGCATTATTTGTAAGAACAACATTCAAATTTACGAAAGCATATTGGTGTAAATGTTGTGATACTCGAATGATCTATGTATAAATTAGTTAAGCTGGGTTGGTTAGATTAAATTTGGTGGCTGAAACCATCAAAGAAATAAGTAGCCTGGAATTATTATCAAGTTAGTAGTCAGTATGATTATGTAATGATATAGTGATCAAAAAATTCCCTTTATTGTTGTGGTACGAAATCTAACGTTAGACAG